TTCACCATGGTGAAACTTACAGTACTGTCAAGTGTAAACCGAAGCTATTACTCAATATTGTGCTGTCCCGACGCCTCAGAGACGCCAAAAATTTTATTGCAGAAAACTCCAAAGATCCAAACGAATCCGAAAGTTTCCGCAAGAAATTTTTATTGATTTCATCCTTCCAAAGTATCTGAAGGAAGATAAAAAATAATGAAGATTTTTTGTGAAATATTTGGATCCTTTTGGATTTTTGAGTTGTTTTTTTACAATAAATTTTTGGCGCCTCTTTTATGTGTTTCACATTCAGAAAGCTATTACTATTGCATAGAAGTTTACACCTTTCTATACGGGGGATCGGCAGTGATTTATGGGAACCAACGAAATGCCCCCACTAAGCCAAACCTGGCTTAAATCTTACCTATAATGTCAACCACCTGAAGTAAACCCATGTGTGTGCAAACTCGCACTAAAATGGGCTGAAGGCGCCCTATAACACCTAAAGAAAAGGGAAGTGGTTTCCAACATAGGAAAGGTCACTGGGCTCAGAGAGCGGGGGGAAGGGGGACGGGGAAAGGGGTGAAATAGAAGAAGGAATGGCCATTTCAGCACTATCACTAGTTCCTTTCGCTAATTCATGTTAAGTAACAGGTCACACTTTCGTGAATACTTGCAAACTCTTGTAAGACTGCGAAGTAGTGTGGGTAAGCCCCTTTAGTGACAGGAATTTACAGGTTATAAAGGCAGGCTTTGCTCAATGCCATTTGGTGCCCCACCAAGCAGAACGGTGCCGAAAAGTGTGTGAAAAGAAATGGTGAAGCCAAACAAATAATGTGATGGAAAATAAGGAAAAAAAACAAACATTGAGGAACTCGCATTTCCGTCGATGATGATTTATACCAAATATAGACCGCTTCATTGCAGAAATAGCTCGTGAAAATGACGACGAAAAGAACAACCCAGAAAGAAGAGCGTTTATGACGCGTCTTTCGCACTATCCATGACGGATATAGATCAACAAAGGAGAATCCCGCCTGTTCGCCTTGCCCAGGCCTCAAATTCGCCCAGATTTTGGAGATGTTATCTTCTTATGCGTTGTATGTGTGCCGACAGGTGGACGGAAGGCCCCAGGTCTAGGTGAAAGGAACCTCTGAAACGGTACGTTAGCATATAGAAAGCAATAATAACCACACTTTAAAGGTTATTTGTTCAACCTGCATACGATTTTGGCCATATTGCGCGTGGAAATGTTTGTCGATCATGTGTGGATTCCCCCTACGCATAAATATAAGGCTAGTGGTGCAGGTCGGCTTGAAGGGCATTCTAGTTCCCATCATCACTTCCAATGCTCCTCCAGAGAATACCTGTGAATTCATCTTGAGCTATGCCAGGGCCTCGTTAACACATGCCGCGGTCCAGTGGTCAAACTTCGGAACGGCTCCCGCTAGGCCAACCAAGTCTTCTACCCTCAGAGGCCATGAATTGGAACCAGGTTTTCCTGGAAGGATGGAAATACCAATCGTAATTTGTATATTGGCTAGTCATTTTTTGTATAGCAAACGAGAAAACACAGACAGCGCGTTTCGCTATGGTTACCCGTCCCGTCGTAGGTAGCGGTGCGGCAAGGCGGACAGAGTACCCGGGTACCGCTACCAGGGCACACCATCGTTGTGAAGATCACAACGGAGGGGTCCTATTGACCGGCAAGGGGTCGTAATTTAGCTGGGGAAATTTTTTTTAGGAGTTGAGTCGTGTTTCACGGGCAGTATAAGGCGGGAGGGGGGTATTTGGCCGTTGTTAAGAGAGAAGTTGCCAGAAATCTACACAACAGATCTATACAACTACAAAATGAATGATAGTCAATTCTGACGACTTCCCCCCCCCCACAGCAAAATCTTGGGGAAAACCAGGAGGGAATTCTGGAAAAACTGGTGGGACGTTAGGGAATCCGAGAATTTTACATGTTTAGGTATTAGGTTGTCCCAAAAGTTCTGGGACACTTTCAAACTTTTTTCGAATTAAGTTTATTCCAGTGGGAAGCAATTTTGATCAGCTATATATATGTCACCTTCATTGGCAACTTGTTGCCAATCACTACGCAATGTGTGGTTGCCCTGCTTCCAGAAGCCTCTTAGTTCTGTGGCCAGAAAGGCAGCTGGGTCATTTTGAGGTACTATCAAAAATCGTATTTTTTTACCAAGAAGATGGCCGCTGTGGGATTAGTTTAGATGGCGATCGGAAAGAGCAGTCAGGGCTACACGAAGACTGTGGTGGAATTCCCCAGCTAAGCTTCGGGATCTCGAGCAGTGTCGTTTTCCAAATGTTTGACCCTGAGGTGTGGTGGAGTAGGCAAACATTGCTCGGTTTTGGGACCAAATGGTAGAGATTTTCCACCCCACTTTGCAGTTGATTACAATAGGGCTCCCTGGTTACCATAGCGTTGGAAGGAGGGAATTCCGTTTCGAGAGCGGAGAAAGGTACCCCACCACATACACAGCCTCACCGCCCTACTGGATTGATAGGATTGCGCGATCGGTTCTGCCCTTTCTGGGGGATCTAGCCGCTGGCGCTCCCAGGAGTAATTCATCTAGAGGCACCGCGGGAAAGAAGTTGTAGACAGTACCCACATGTGCTCCCCTTGGAGTACTGGTCAACTGATGAGAAAAATTTTGACCGAACTTCAGAACTTTTCTAAGGGAGCGAGGCCTTCTCTCATTTGTGCTTTGGGACCAGTCAAGTGTAAGGACTAGATAGCAAGTTGATTTGTACGTATTGGTTTTAATCAAGGAACACAGTAGGTCCAAATCCAAGGCAGGTGGCCTCCTTGGACGAAGTTTTTCACCCGGATAGAAGTCACTAAAGCGGAAGCAATTGAGCCATTCCAAAGCCGTACTGTGGAAGCTAACATCAAGATCTAAATAAGGGAAATGCCGCTTATGGCTCCAACCACGTTGTGGCTTGGTAGAGATTCATATAGCGAAGTGTGTCGAAAATGATGAATTTCAATTACCGTTTTTCATATGAGAACAGCGACTGCGAGGGACGGTTGAAGAAGCTGGGGAATGCTTACCTCACACACCTGCTTTCTACCTGCTTTCCCATAGACCACATTACTGGATCTCGAAATGGCTGCGGAAAATTCTGATACGAGATTCAAAAATTGTCCCAGAACTTTTGGGACAACCTAATACATACCCCCCTCCTCCCGCCGCCGCTCGACGGAAAACCTGGCTGAAAATTGGAAATTTCTCGGGGGAAAAATAAAAGTAGCTGGTAGAATACAGGGAAATCTAGGAAAGTAGTAGGTAGCGTGGGGAGGAGGGGTCGTATTCAAGTTGAGGACAGAATTAGGGGAGGGGGTCGTGTTTTACAAGAAATGATCACAACGCGATGGTGCGCCCTGATAGCTACGCTGTGTACCTGCTTCCGTGAATTTGACGGAAGAAAGCAGCTCCTCTAGCTGCGGAACTATTCATCTCGCGCATCGAAATTAGCTTTCTTTGTAAGCGTACAATCTGTATTTGGCGATTTTTTTTATTTCCGTCGATACATTTATCGAACTCTACGAGGAGGCGGAGCTACAATGGCTCCATAGGAACTGTACAAGACTTTGTTAGCAGTATTCTATAAGAAACCAAATTCAATGAAATCGAAGTAGTACATCTGCATTACACGTCTCATAAGGTATTCATTGGAGAAGAGCTGTTCTTCAGCCATTTTCCGTGTACATGACATCGAGGTGGAGTGTTTTGTCTTTCCTTCTGTAAGAAAATTCGCATGCATAGATCAAGAAGAACTAGCAATAATATGATTTCACTGGAATGTAGCTGGTAGCTGGCTTTAAAATTAAAGGTAAGTCAAACTGATTTCGTAGCTCAAAACTACCTCCAATAATGAAATAAAGGCTTATCACGTTGACGACATTTTGAGCCACCGGTGGCTCATAAGTGAGTGGCCACGTGGGACAATTTGAGCCACCGGTGGCTCATAACTTTCTCCATCACTTTTCGGGTTATTGCCGGCAGTCTCAATCAATCTTTTTCTTGCTTTCAAATAACCTGTGAAAGTTGAATGTCCAACAGGGATGAGCAAGAAAAGTGTTGCTGCCTTCATGGGATATTTTGAATTAAAAATTGAAATTTTTCAACTAGCTACTGCTGCGGCAGAAACCTCCAAAATAGTTCTTTTTGGACGGAACCTTGGCTGCAAGGACTGCGCGGGGCTTTGATCATGAACGTTGAATCTTATTTGTCGTTGGCGCCATATGGCGCCAGATCTTATTTGTCGATGACGAGGTATGGCGCCAGCGGGCGCCATTTTGGCCCTGGCTATCTTTTTACACCGAATTTGATAGAAACCTCTATACCTAGGCTGTTTGAATCCTTTTCACGAAGATATAGTTGCCTTTCAGTGTTGGCGCCACCAGGAGCCAGCGGGCGCCACGTTAGCACCAGCAATCTCACACATTTTGGAAATCACGATCGCGCTAAAAAGTGGGCGTGATCGCAGAGGGCGGGGCATGAGATGGCATCCAGTAGGGTCAAGGATGGTTGAAATAGCAGTCCCTGCACGATTGACTAATCATTTTGCGAAATTTGACGTAGCGGCAAAAGTGGTCCATGAGGGACAATGTGAGCCACCGGTGATTCTTGCGAAAACACGCCATCGTCCCACGTTTCGCTTTCCCGCAAAACGCAATTGTCATCAAGGTTTTAATCAACAAGTAGGAGCATTACTTGAGTGATCTCACAGATCCCACCAGCCCATCCAGCTCGCAAGCTACGCCTTCCGATTGGTGCCATTACCAGAAGTGAAAAGGTTCATATTTCGTTGCTATCACTCATCTCCAGTCGTATGTTTGTAGGGCTGGCAAGGATGCATGGAGGAGGAGACATGAGCGAGAATGGACCATCTATGTTCCTCAAAAAAGCTTTTCTTCCCTTTACCAACTTCGGAGAGGAGGCGTGTCAGTAAACAACGTGCGATGGTTGACTGTCTCCGCCCATGTCTCCATCAACACGGTCACCTTGGACTGCGCTGCTGATCCCGAAAGCTTCAAATTTGAATTCAATGAACACGTACTCATCATCTCAGCGTAGATTACTCGGAGGTGGTGGTCAGGCACTTGTGCTTGTTTGAAAAGTTTTTGGAAATCGTTGGCGACCTTCTGCGTACGATCAGGTCCGCTACCATAATCCATAATGATATACTCATTTTTGCGTTTTTTGAATTCGCAGAACCTGTAACAAGAAATTTTTACTTGGTGTGTATGAAGGCAGTTGGCACGATAAATCCTCCAAGACGAGCAGGTAATACGCCTGGCAGGACGGGATTCCGCGACCTTGAGCAGGCGCTGCGAAGGTGCCTTTATAAGGGCGCTATCAAGCCACAACATTACGTCCCAAACGCCCGCCCACAAATGGACGACTGTTCCAGACGCTCTAATTGATTCATTTGCTAAGCAAATTATGAAGCGATGGTATGAAGCGGCCGTGATGCTGCATGGATATATATATGCAGCCGTACCTTCGGTAGCGGTTATTGGCAAGATGCCTACGGGAAACTCGTCCAAAATTGATTCACTGAGAACGGGGGCTCTTTTTTCGCAGGATTTTGACCGTTTCACTCCGTTCTTTCGCCATTTCCCCGTTTTACTCCGTTCTTTCGCCATTTCCCCCACTATATAGCGTCCTACTAGCATTTTAGGCCGAGCAACCAGTCATCGTGCCAACTGCCTTTAAGGAACATGGAACGGAATAAAAGGGAACATATGGGAGTTAAAGCACAGGCTACGCCATATAGGCCGGTGTCAGGCGTGCCAATGGGCAGTATTTCACCCGCATTTGTGCCATTCTGAAGGGATGAGGAGGTATAATAGCAGGAGGGAGGCTCGATCGCACACCTTCGTAACACATGAGTTGTGCGTGTAAGAGAAACGCTTCTACAATCTGGTTTACGGCCGCGTGTCAAAGTATGGAAGCAAAAAAGCCCGATTGGGAAGCAAAAAGAGGACGAAATGGCTGAAAGCGCGCCAAGCCACTCTCTTCTCTTATCGGAGAATGGACCAGTTTGTTCATGGTTATCTCGGCATCTTATTGTGAATTCCATTATCCTTTTAGACAATAATCTCACGGTCTTGTTCGCTGCGGATTAGGGGGCGTGTCAAGGGAGGATGAGTTTGACCCAGCGCCAGCCGCATTTTTCCTTTTTTTTTTGGAGAGCGATGAGACTGTACCTATTCCTTTTTCATCAGTGTCCACCAGTCACTTACCCACTTCAAGATAGTGGAGAAGCGACTGCCGGCGCGCCAAACAACCTCACTGACACGCCCTTTTTTCCGCAGCGAAGAGGACTGTATCTTCAATGATCTTACCATGTTTGAGGAGCAAAATGCCGGATATAGTAGTTGTTGAAGCGCTTTATTTTACGATCTTTGCTCCTCACACCATTATGGTACTGGATCAGTAGTGCATGAAGACGATCGACAAAACATTTCATATCATTAAAACATCCAAAACATCGTTTTTCCACCTTGATGTATGTCATCTCGCTGAAATTACTATCTGTTACTTGAATGATGACAAGATTCGAACATGAAACGCGTAAAAGAAGCCCCAAAAAATTTTATTGCAAAAAAAACTAGAAAATTCAAAAGGATCCCCAACAGGGGAAGGGGGTCGTAGTTAGGCCGTGAAGGATGTATTTTGATTGCTGTTTTTTTTCTCGCTTTACGGACTTGTAAATTGGGGGGATCGTACTTGCTAATTGTTGGGAAGAGGGGGGGGGCGTCGTATTTACTTTCTAGGAGTGGTGGGAGTGAGGGTATACTTTTCATGATTTTCTTGTTTCATGCGTACTCGACAGCAAAATTTTTGGGAGAAGTAGGGAAGTTTTCTGGAAATTTTGCAAAAAGTAGCAGGAAGTTGGGGAAATCTGTGAATTGGTAGAAGGGGGGGGGGTCGTAGTGTCTCTCGGCTTTTCCTGTTTCACATGTGCTATTTACGCCCCCGCCCGCTCGACGGCTCGATTCGATGAGGAGGGACAGAGGGCCGGAGGTAGGGTCGTACCATCCCCCCCCCTAAAAAAAGGGGGGGGGAGGTCGTATAGACTCGACCAAAATCCCCAACCAGTGATGATGTGAGTGAGTGATGTGCCCTGCGTTTTAGTCTTCAAGGCAAGGCACCATAACTAGGTACCAAATAGTAGCATGGGTGCTATATAATGGGGAAACAGTGGAAATGGGAAGTCAAACGACCAGAAACCTGCAAAAAAACCTTTGTTCTGCACGGTATTGGACGAGCACTTTTGGACGAGTCTCCCGCTGGCATCAGGCCAACAATCATTTTGGTTGGTACGGCTGCACGATTGTATTTTGGAAATCTCTGAGATGTGGTAGGCGTGGTTGCGTACTTCGACCAAAGGTGGCGGTGGCGGTGCATTGAGAGGGATATTTTCATTTCTAGACAATTGCGGTCATGTTTTTGTTCAACGCAGAACAGGATGACAGTTGTCTCAAATCGAAATATCCCCCGAATAGCCCATCCCATGCCATGTTTGAATGCCACGCCCACTCGGTCAAAGGGTGAGGAGTGTTTTCGAATACCCATGCAGCAACGCTTTATATCAATCGTGTTTCATGAATGAAGCGATAAGAGCCAGCGTCGATGTGACTGTACGGCAATTTGTGGGCGGGCAATTGCGGTGGGCGTCTATGTCGGCATGTTGCACTCAGGGTACAGCATCTTTGTGTGAAACACATAGGGGGGGGGGTCGTACTCTTTCGCTGGGGAGGGGGAGGGGAATGTGTTTGTTCGTTATCGCAAAAGGGGAAAGGTCGTAGGTGACTTTTTAAAAAATTTGCGAGAAAAGAAAGAAAAAAAATTTTTCCGGTTGTTGACTTTTCGTGATTTTTTTCTGTCTCATGTGTACTGTATAACCCCCCAACCGAAATTTCTGGTGAAAAACTGAAAAATGTGGGAAATTGGTAGGTAGGTGTTGGAGAAGGAGGCGGTTCTACCGAGACCCTCTTTTAGGTGGGGGAGGGGTCGTACTGACACCACCATTGCAAAGCAAAGTGCAACCAGGGCACACATCACGATGGTGTGCCCTGGTTGCACTTTGCTTACAAGGGAAGGATGGTAGGTCGAAGTGGCCATTTGAAATGAAATGTATACCGGCTGAAAGGTCTTCGGACGGGAATTACGAAACCGTCTTCCATATCTGCTGCGGACCTCCCAGAAAGAAGTTACGGAGCTTTTTTGGGGGAGAATACACTACAAATTGGCGGCGTAAGGCTGACGAGATCGTGGCAGCATGGCCGAGTGGATACGTCGTAGGAGCTCACGGATGCGTGGTCGAGGGTTTGGATCCTTGATGCGTGTGCTCTTTTGCATTTTTTCGAAAGTGGTCCCTGTGCACTTCAAAGCTATTTTGCATAACACTTGTCCCTGATAATGTCGTGATGTAATGATTCTGAACTGATGGAGCCATTGCGAACCATTCCATAGAGATCACTTCTGGCTGTTGTCTTCTTCTTTCTTTGATTTGAAAAGCATACACAACAAAAGTGCATTCCAAAGGAAGATTTTGCCTTCAAATGACTTTATTCTCCAAACGACATGACTGGAAAACGAATCCGTACGCACGAAGTTGTGCACGAAGATGAGTATAGTGGGGAAAATGCTTCCATATGAAGTGGCGTTGATGTGACAATCATGCTGCTGGAGATCGCGATGGGCAAGAGCTTCATTCACCACTCACATAATGTTGAATTATGTCTATCTCAAAGTGTTTTCGTATCTGCTGGAAGTTTTCGGCACAAGAGTTATGCAAAATAGCTTTGAAGTGCACAGGGGCCACTTTCGAAAAAATGCAAAAGAGCACACGCATCAAGGATCCAAACCCTCGACCACGCATCCGTGAGCCCTACGACGTATCC